AACTCAGTGCGGTCTGGGTTCCGGTTCCGTTACATATACACAGTAGAGTGATTACACAAATTCACTTGGAGCACAGCGGTCTTAAAGGGACAGTTCACCAGCATTCTGATACCATAACATTGGGACACTTGTTGATGGTATTTGGTACATGATGCACAGGAGATATATCGCATAAGCACATATGAAGATTTTGGAGTGTTAAAGGGACAGTTCACCATATTATACGATTAATTTGGTATTTGTATACACTATTCATTTAGCACTGGTATATGCAGTTTTATTTATATATGTGTTTCATTTTGATGTAGCACATATTATTGTCACGAAGATTCCCTGATGAAGCAGCTGTTAACTGCAATACGTGTTGGATATAGGGCAGCAGGATTTACTCAGCATCTCTTTTGGAAACTATTTACAACCTTATTAAATGTGTTTTATGTTATTGAATGTATTGCATTATAACAGTCCGTGAGGACCTTAATTTTTAAACTGAATTGCGTAATAAAAAAACTCTTCATTTTATTTAATTTTGTTTTTTGTTGCCTCACCTTTAGTATGGAGCCTTAAAACTCCAGAGTTTAGTAATGTGGTTTCCTTCCTATTGTTCCTGTGTAGCTGAAGACCGCTAAAAGGCTGGACCCGGCAGAGTCTCAGATATGTCTATGCATGGAATCCAGTGTCTGGAATGCTGGGAAGATGGACCGCTAGGCGCAGAGATACCTAACTCTGTAAAATCAATGAAATAACTTTTATCAATGGAGGGGGAAGAAGGGGGCAGGTCCTCATCTGACCATCTCCACTGCTTTTCTGAAAGAAGATGCAAAGCTATTAACTGCTGCAGTGCCGAAATTCAGAGACAAAAATAGATAGGTATTCCTGCAGTGAAGATTTTGCCAATATCCAACTGCCTGCACAACGTGGGATATAATTCTTTACAGGTAAGAGATGTGACTAAAGCTGTAGGAAAAATTAAATACATGCGTTTAAAGCAAATTTCTAAATGCATATAAATCCATGATGTAATGATTTTCAAAGATATAATTTACACTGTGTGCTTACCTGATTACATGTGTTTAGGTGCATTCAGTTCAGCTGCACTTAGAAAAAATAGAATTCTGTACATCCAGAGACTGATTAGATACTCTGAACGGGTGTGAATGCATGTAAACACACGTAAAAGTAAGTACAACTGAACTCAAGCAGGAACTTATTTTTTTTATACTTACCAGATCATTTGCTTTCTAATTGGGACTATTGTGAATGTAACCTTAAATAACTGATTTGAGTATGTGCTGCCCATGTGCTCTTTCACATGTACATTCGCTTAAGCTATTTGTGCATTGCAATAGCTAACATTTCCTGATATTTTTCATAAAATTATCTGCTGGGGATAACCAGCAAGTTCACTTTGGAAGCTATTACACTTAACTTTTACAGGGAGACTGGGTGCAAGCAAGGCACTTTCATGTTATTCAGCTGCTCCCAGCACATATTCATGATACATGCATACATTCAGAGCATGGCATCATCCAACTTTAGGATGACATTGTAATAATTAACCCTTGCTTGTCTGTTTCTAAGATGAGAGTATGCATGCTGGAAAAGGATGCTTGAATATAGCAAATTAGTGCATGTGTGATATTGACCTGAGAATGTGCATATATATGCATGCTCTGATTACACTCAGTTTCTAGTAATTCTGGAAAAGGCAATACTTAATTTTCTGCGTTCCCTGGCCCCAGCATGTGAGATAATTATTGCATCAAGCACCCATACTCTACCCAGATTTCTGCTTTACTGTGGGAAATATAATGACAGAGACAATAATCAACAATTCTAAAAGTCCCCCCAAGTCTCTGGCTTATGGCAGATTTCTTTTGCACGTGTGTGCAGAGTGGTCCCTATTGTCAGAAGTTAGTAAATTCTCGGAACTGGCTGTCTGAGACCCCAGGTAAGAATGTTAGAATCTTCCTTTCATGTCACTGATGCTCTGCCTTCAAGTGTGGTCTGAGCCTTAGCAATGGAGACCACTTGGGGCATCTGGCAAGTTGTTTTCTGACCCTCTGTACTTATAGAAATGCAAAGACTTCTAACCAGGGGCGGACTGACCATTTGGAAACTTGGGCACTGCCCGAGGGCCTGGGGTCAGTAGGGGGCCCCATGAGATGCCCCTGGTACCTTTTTCATAGGCTTTTTTGAGTTTGGGCAAGGACACAGGGGCCCTATGATCCCCTATTGCCCAGGGGCCCCATGAGTTGTCAGTCCGCCCCTGCTTCTAATGTAACATAGAAAATACTCTGCACCTGGGTTTCACCTCGAAAGATACCTCTGATAGATTACTGTCTGTAATAGACTGTACCTTTTGCAGGTATGCTGGGGCAGCACGTAGCCTAAGTTAGGAATAGGGATGTAGGAATAATCCTGCTTTTGCATGTTGGACTGGGAGATATTAATTTTGTATTTTTTCAAGTAAAGCTTTGAAACTTTGTCTAAAGTTACTCAAGGGGTGTATTGCAAGTAACCTGCACCATAGCCTAAGATTTGGGTCATTAAATTCACTGGGGTATGAAGACAGCTATGCAAGAGTTAATACAGTGTGGAGCGCAAGCAAGTGATTACCTAGGGTAACGGACGTTTAGCAAGCAGCCTGTCGATAGCATGTACCTGTTGCAGGAAGGTTGGCCTCTAGAGGCGAGGAAGATGTTGTTAGCACTCTTTCCACTGCAGTCTGTTTCCCATAGCAACGGGAGTGGACTCGCATTACAGGGGTCCCCATCCTGTACAGAGGTACGAAAGCTCACAGGTGAAGTCTTTTGCAGATTGGAGCCCGCACTAGGTATATGGCGGGGCCCACTATGCTACTGGGGACAGCAGTGGAAAATGCTGGACAGGTAGTTGTGGTCAGTGTTAGTCACAGCCCTCCTGATTGTAAGCAGTAATGGAAAAATGTACATTTTATGCGGGACCCGAGAATTAACTGGAGAACAGTTATGGTGCAAGTGTACCTGGTGTACGTTCTCTAGAGTAGAGGCCCACCTTAAGGGTGAGTATTCTCCAATTAGAACTTCAGCCTTGTTCCAGGGCATTGGTGAAAATGGCAGAGAGTAAAGGTGCCCCATGTGGGAGGCAATGACCCTGTTACAGGTGCCTAACTTAGCCTAGCAAAAACCCACCCTGGGGGTAGTCCTTTCATGTGATCCAAACTTGGCACCCAACGAGTTAATAGGAAGCATGGATGAGGTGCCACCTACCTACTACCCCCCTTCTGCACCTAGATCAGTATATTTCCATATGTTTCTTATCATCCATGGACCATAAACCTGTACAAATCAATGACAGGCCAACACCATCCACAGAACACATGAAATGATTACCTGTGATTAGGTATGGATGTGCACCTCTGGATGCAAACTATCTGCATCCAGAAGGGCACATCCATCCCTAACTGCAGGTAATCATTCAATGTACTGTTTGGATAGTGTCAGCCTGTCATTGATTAAAACAGGCTTTTGAGGCTGATCAGAAACCCCAGTTGTGCTTCAAAGTTTGCATACCCTGACAGAAATTGTGAAATTTTGACATTTATGTTGAAAATATGACTGATCATGCCAAACAACTGTCTTTTAATTAAGGATAGTTATCATATGAAGCCAGTTATAATCACGTAGTTGTTTGGCTCCTTTTTAAATCCTTTTGATAACAGAAATCACGCAAATGGCCATGATCAAAAGACTACATAGCCTGAAATGCTTGACCTTGGTACAGACACACAAGGAGGGGTTTTTTTTATATGAACAATTCTTCTGGCAGTTGTGGCTGCAATCATTCTTGGTCTACCTGATCTTGGCTTGGTATGAAGAGATCCCCGAATTTTCCACTTCTTAATAGGTGATTGGACAGTACTGCCTGGCATATTCAAGGCTTTCGACATCTTTGTATTCCTTTCCCATCTTTATAAAGTTCCAATACCTTGTCATGCAGGTCTTTTGACAGTTCTTTTCTGCTCCTCATGGCTCAGTATCTAGATGCTCAGTGCATCCATGTAAGAGTTAGCAAACTTATTGTCTATTTATACACAGACCCTAATTGCAATTTAAAAAGCCACAGATGTGGGAAATCCATATTTAATTGCCAGTATAACCTGTGTATGTCACCTTGTGTGTTTGTACCAACTTTTGATCATGACTATTTGGAGGACTTTTGTTATCATTATGATTTAAAAAGGAGCCAAACAACAACGTGATGATACATGGCTTCATATTATCACTATTCTTGATCAGTCATATTTTTAATATAAATGCCAAAATGTCATCATTTCTGCCAGGGTATGCAAACTTTTGAGCACAGCTATATGCTGATCTAGGTGGTGCATGGCCATGTTCATGAGCCCTAACATTCCACTGCAAATTGCTAATCAATCGCAGTATAAATTTAGATTGATTCAAATTGTTCTTTAGCACTGCTAGCTTGCCTTACATGTGACAGGTTCCCTTTAAACAATATCGTGAAAATCATGTAGAAAGGTATCTAGCACCTCCTGCCTGCAGCTGAACCTTACTTGGAATGTGCACAGGCTGGTGCACTTTATGCGGCCATACTGCCTATGTGAGCTCTATTGTTATGCATGCCCTAGCGCTGACATAGGAAAGAAGGGAAGCCCTGCAGAGCCGGGACAAGTCCATCCATCATCATCTACCTCGTCGTAGTAGTGAGTAGGCTGGGGAGCCCCGCCCACTTCGAAAGCTGTCAAACCGCCGGGACGCTGTGATTGGTGCACGCCCTAAGACAACACCTGCTTGACTCCTTCATTCAAGTGACAGCAGAGCTCGCAGGGGATATTTGAGGCACCATCCCTCCCCGATTCTCATCATTCCCAGTGTTTGGTGGGCAGCTCGAGTTGCACTCACGCTGAAAGGGGCTGGCCAGTGCTACAAGTATAGGCTGATCTGTCAGCCTCTCTCTATTGCAGCCCGGAGTGTGAGCATTCACAAAACAGGACCATGTGCTCAGAACTTCTCCACAGACTGGTCACTCTGGGACTGGTGTTCGCCAGCTTTGATGCCGTGCTTGGGACAGATGCCACAGACCTGCCCGAGAGCAGCCAGGACAGAGCAGACAAACTGGCTAACCAGAAAGGGAGGCTCTCCCTGCAGAACACAGGTAACTTCCACTGAGCCAGCCTGGAACCTTTCTCCTGCAGCCATCTAACTTTGAGTATCTATCTGTTCATTTCACCAATCTCTTGCAGTAATCTATCTATCTACCGGTCTATCTATTGATCTATTGATCTCTCTCTCTCTCTCTCTCTCTCTCTCTCTCTCTCTCTCTCTCTCTCTCTCTCCCCCCCCCCCCCTTGACCTATCTCTTGCAGTTATCTAACATCTAACTGAGTATCTATCTATCTATCTGACCTATCTCTTGCAGCTATCTACCTCTGAGTATCTCTCACTCTTTTTCTTTTTCAGCCATCTAACTTTTACTCTCTCTCTAGATAGATAGATAGATAGATAGATAGATAGATAGATTTCCTTGACCTACCTCCTGCAGCCATCTAACTTTGAGTATCTATCTGTTCATTTGACCAATCTCTTGCAGTAATAGAGAGAGAGAGAGAGAGAGACCCTTGACCAGTCATCTAACTTTGAGTATCTATCTATCTATCTATCTATCTATCTATCTATCTGTTCTATCTTTTGCAGTGATCTATCTATCTATCTATCTATCTATCTATCTATCTATCTATCTATCTATATACCCTTGACCTATCTCTTGCAGCTATCTAACTTTGAGTATCTATCTATCTATCTATCTATCTATCTATCTATCTATCTATCTATCTATCTCTCTGTTCATTTGACCAATCTCTTGCAGTATTCTATCTATCTATCTATCTATCTATCTATCTATCTATCTATCTATTATTTATCTATCTGTTCATTTGACCTAATCTCTTGCTATCTATTCTATCTATCTATCTATCTATCTGTTCATACCAATCTCTTGCAGTATCTATCTATCTATCTATCTATCTATCTATCTATCTATCTATCTATCTATCTGTTCATTTGATCAATCTCTTGCAGTATTATATCTATCTATCTATCTATCTATCTATCTATCTATCTATCTATCTATCTTCATCTACCTATCTGTTGCATTTGATCATCTATCTATCTATCTATCTATCTATTATATCTATCTATCTATCTGTTCATTTGATCAATCTCTATCTATTATATCTATCTATCTATCTATCTATCTATCTATCTATCTATCTATCTATCTATCTATCCATCCACCTTTACCAAATCAAACCTGTATGTAGATGACACATACATCCAGAGGTTCACAGACATACACAGATAAATAAACAGATGAGTAGTTTAAATTATGACAAGATATATATTGTATCTTTTAATTTCTTCCCAGGAGTAATACAGTAATTTCACCTAGGTTCACACATATGCATTGCAGGAAACGCAGCAATCCCAGCACATTTCCCTCGCTGCATTGCAATCACACTGTGTTTTGCGATCTGCTGCGGGTGTCAATACAAAGTTAATGACACCTCAAAGCAGGTCACAAACACAGTACGTTTGCCTGCACTGAATCGCAAGGTACAAAGCGACCATGTGATTGGGTTGCAGTGCGGCCGAAAAAAAAGGTGCGTGCACGTTTTTGGTGCTATGTGGTGCAATATGAACCCATCCAAAATCAATGGCTTCAAATTGCACCACTCTGAATGGCATGTGAATTGCGCGGGAATGTGGTGTGGTTCCTGTGCGATTCACATGAGAGTTATAGTGTGAACTTTGTTTCAGTGCTATAACTGATTCAGATCAGAAGAGGAGTTCAATAAATGTAGAAATCTTATTTCTGATGTGTTTACAAAGTTATCGCAACATGATTAAACAAAATTCTCATGTGGTTACAAATATTTTGGGAATATGGCAAAATACATGATTGTAGAACTTTCTTTCAGCAATAAAATGAAGCTTGCTGACAGGCAGTGAGATTTGTAGTGTGTGAATGCTTGCTACTAACCAGTGCTTGTGTTAAAGCACGTGCTAAGTGTGCCTGCTAGGGGAGGAATAGTTTATTCACATGGGAATTGCAGAGTTAATATCTGCAAGTCAGAGACTGAAAGAAAAAAAAATACACTCATCCCCAGACAGGCTGCTGTAGTAAATAGGATGGTGTTTTGTCTGACTGGACCAAGGCTGGGGTCTTTTACAAGAAATGGCCTGTTTTCTGTTTATCAAACATGTCAGCGAGATTCAGGTTGCCAGTTCAGGTAACAATAGTACTTTGAGGTGTTTGGTCAGTGCCCAAGAAAGCATTTTTCCACAGAAAGGTTGTACTGTAAAGGCTGTTTTTTTTTTAGAGTCAAGGTATGTGCCGGTTTGTAAAATTATATTTGGAATATTTACATAACCTAGTTTTTCAAAAATAAAAACAGAGTTTTAAGCATGAAATGTTTTTTTTAATCTAGCTTTACAGCAGATGCTGGCAACCAGTGGACAGGGGAGGACTAGGCTGAGGGGAAGGGGGTCATTTATCCCCTGGGCCACTGAAATCAGGTATGTTGGGCTGGTGGCCCTGAGTAGAGATACTTCACCATTCAGACACTGATCAGAGCAGGATCTGCTGTGGGTAGCTTAGGTTGGGCTTTATTCCACTATCTGCTCCTCATTCAGACCTGTGATTACAGCATCGGGCAGCAGGAATCATCCAGCACTAACTTCTGTTGCAGCTATGAGGTGCCGTGAGAACGAATGCTGAGAGCAACCAAGGAAGTCGATGCTTGAAGATGTGAAAAAGCATCACAAGGAACTTATGCCTTGTCCTTTAGGGTCCCCCACCCTTCACCATGCCCACCAATCAGTGCAGTAGCATAGCTTATAGAAATCTGTCCAGACTAATGAAAGGTCTTTGAGTTGCCTTTACCCCACTACCACCACCCCCTCCAGGGCAAAGGTCCCCAGTCCTCCCCTACCTGTAGATTACCAAGTTCTCATGGAAGTAGTCCCAACATGCTGTAACAGTTTGAAGCCTGATTGCTAACAAAGTGACCTGGTATTTGTAGCTCTACATCAGTTGGAGAGCCATAGATTGCATATGCCAGCTTAGTACTGTGCATTTCTTTTCCACTTCCCCCTAGGGAACATTTCATTAGCTTTGTGGTCTACAGAGCAATGTCTCTGTGTGCCTGTGTCAGACTTACGTACATTCCAAGCAAACTAGGCTTGATAATGATTTATTCTGTTTACACGCCAATGGCTAGCAGTGTGCCAAGTGCATAGTATTATAAGTGAGAGCCCATGTTAAATCATTATATAAAGAAGGATGAATAAGTAAAGGTCTAAATTAGAATTTATTATGTTAATAGCTTTAGAAAAACACCCAAGGTTACTTCACTGTGTGGGACTGCATCTTCAAAGTTGTTTCCAAGTAACAGGTTCTCCTGTGTACATCACTCCTGTCATGTGCGGTGACAGAATCAAGGATCAGTCAAAATAGAGAGATCTGTGTGATGGTTGGGGGCTCAGAATGAGACATGCTCACCTCCAGAATTCCTCCAAATTATTTTCTGTACCAGTAAAGAGGGGTATCACATATGTATTAAAGGTATTTAATTTGCTCTTAATAAAATAATCACCAATCAGAGTATTTTTAGTAGAGAGACCCAATCCAACTTTACTATCAGTGTGGATAATTTTTGGTCAAATATCTACAGCATAGACTAACAATACTCAATATATGATATGAGAGAAGAAAACTTCCTTAAAGAGTAACCTCAATCCCTGTTATTTCTGCCCCCAACTCTCCCTATGTGTGCAGCCATCTTTGAATGGTTCATGCATGCACAGTTGTGCCAAACGCCTCTGCTGGGTCTTGGGGTTTTCCATGCATGCGCACACAACGCTGGTGTCTGGGACCTTGATATTTGTGGCACATCTGTGCTTTCACATGCACCTGTCAGTATAACTGCCAGGGGCAATACATCATTCATGTCTGGGCGAGACAAAAGCTCAAAATGGTCAGAAACATTTAAAAAAGCATCTAATTGTAGGATAGGTAAGAGCCTGGTGGAAATAAACTGTTTTATTGGGTGAAGTACCTATTTCAGTTGGCTCTGCTTTTACAGAAATATGGTGATTGTCATTGCAGGTGTGCTTCTGATAATGCCATTTGTTTGGCTTTGTCCAGCCAAAGTACTTTTAAAGTGATTGTAAACCCTCATCATGTAAAACAACCCATTCAGTTTAAAATAGAAATGAAAGGCCAAATATTTGTGTATATATAAAAAAAAAACATTATAAACACCTGTTTTTTCCCCTTTTTTATAAGTGATCACATATCCCCTGTTTTCAGCTGCCTGCACTGGTCTTCCCAGCATAGCTAGAGAACTGACCATGGTGTGTTCTCCTTCTTAGTGTGGTCAGTTTAAAATAGGAAAGCAAAGGAGCTGGCAGGAACACCAGGGATTTCACACAAAGGAAGTGATACAAAGAGAACAGAATACTTTTTCATACAAGTGCATGGTACAGCAGGCATGTATCAGGAATATGAAATGTTGGGTTTACATACTCTAAGTCTTTTAAGTTACAGATGTGGAAGAAGCATCTTGTAAATGAGCGTCAGCAAAGTGTCAGGATTTCTTGTCTCATTACTTGTTCTGGGTCAAGTAATAATAAAGTGTTCATGTATTCTTCAACGACAACTGTACATCAGCATTCAGTAGAGAGATATTCTTCAACCAGTAGATGGCAGTGTTTATAAGTTTTTAGCTGCGACTATGATAAATTCTATGTGTTTTTTTTGTGATTAAAGTTCCTGTTTCCTGTTAGCAGAAAAGCAGCAAATAAATGCTTGGACTGTGCACTGTCTGTTCTGTAGGGCTATGTACAAAATCTCTAACACTCAGACAACACTGAAGCCAAATCATCAGGATGACATCCAGGTAACTAGTATTCTCAAAAAGGAGAGATCAATAATGGCAACCTCTGCTATTTTTTCATGAATCCCTTTACATATAGGGCCAATGGTAGAAGAACTGAAGTTATAGTTATATAAGAGGAGCATTTGTGAAGACTCATTAAAGCGACTATATATTAAATACATCATTAGGGATGGAATGCTGTACCTCTTTAACCACT